CAGATGCAAAGATCCTCAATTAAATACTAGCAAACTGAACTGGGAGGCATATTAAAAAGATTATATACTATGACCAAATGGAATTTATTCTAGTCATATGAGGGTGTTTCAATATATGAAAATCAATGTAATATATCACATAAATAGAATAAAGTGAAAATACATGATTATATTAAATGATGCAGAAAAATTGTAAGAGCTGAAACTATAAATCTCTTAGAACAAAATATAGGCATAAATCTTTGTGACCTTGGATTAATGGTTTCTTGGATATGATACAAAAAACATAAGCAACAAAAGAAAAAATAGATAAATTGGACTTCATCAAAACTGAAAACTTTTTTTGCTTCAAAGGGCATCATCAAGAAAGTTTTACTTTTACAATTTACAAAATGGGAGAAAATGTTTCCAAATAACATATCTGTTAAGGTACTTGTATTCAGAATATATAAAGAACTCTTACAATTCAATAATAAAAGACAATCCAATTTAAAAATTGGAAATGGATTTGAATAGACATTTCCCCAAAGAAGATATACAATGGCCAATAAGCACATGAAAGGATGCTCAACACCACCAGTCATTAGGGAAATGCAAATAAAAACCATAAGTAGTACCACTTCACACCCACTAACCTTTGTACCCACTTACCAGTCTATAATCCATGGAGTATATCCCTGTTCAAGTACTGGCTGCCTGCTGAATACAGCCCACCTCAGAGCTATTTATGAACATAGGATTTATGCAGCACAATGATATCCCATATCTTAGGGACCTATGAGAAAAGAATTAAGCTGAGCATTTATTTCCTTAACCATTTTAAGGCACTGAGCTATATAGCTCAGATCACATATGTATCTAAAGGATATTAATGAGGAAATAGGGAAGAAGAGGAGGGCTTTAATTTTTATTTACTGTGTTAACTTTCAGTCCACTGTGTTGGACTGTGGTAGACAAGCACTTTCTTTTATTCTGCCATCCCGTTTCCTGTTGATATTTTCAATCATTCAGGTATGTAGGTCTGAGGCCTCTCTTAAGTTCAGACAGTGGTAGACAATTTCTTTGATATTCTTAATTGCTTATTTTTTCATTTGACTTGTAAATCCGAAAAATATAATAAATTTTAAACTATCAAACATTCTGCTAGATACTAATTATAACCACAGTGACTAAGTTAATTTAAGTATACATCTCTTAATCCAGCGTTATTTTATATCTTTGTTCCTGTATGCTACCCTACCTATCTGAAGTAAATTTCTGTCTACCCCATTTCTACTATAATGGCCTCACACCATTTCCCTTCTGCCATTTCCTTTCACATCACCAGTATATTTTAGAAAAATAATAGCTACCGTTAAATACTGCTAGGAATTTAATATTAAGATAAATTCATGTAATAGTTCTAAGACAAAGACATCCTTTAACATCTGAGAAAAATGAGTTCAGAAAGGATACTAATTGGCCCACGAAAATTCTAGACTCATTTGGGTATAACAGAAAATTATTAATAATTAATACATCATGGTACATACAGAATGGGGCCCAGCAAATATTAAGAAGGATGATGGGGAAATTAAATAGGCTTATAAAACCAATTTATAAATAAAAAAAGTTATTCTCAAAACACTCAGACATGGAAAGATAGTTTTAAAATTGTTAACAGTAGTTGCCTCTGGAAGTAGATTATATGTGAGCTTCTTTCTGAAGATAATGATGAATAAGGGAACACCAGTGACATGCCTCGGGCATAGTAAGGAAATAATTGACAAAAGCAAACATAATTTAAGTGTTCTTCTTCTTTAATTATGAAATAGTTTAAATATACAGAAAGATACAGAGAATAAGAACTGACCCATATACTCACAACCAGCTTTATCAAATTATAAGAGTTGGCTACACACTATTGGCTTATTATTAAAAGAAATAAATAGTTAAAGGTATTTTCCTTTGTATCCTTTCCCCAAACTCATTTTTCTTCCTCCCTAGAGGTAACCACTGTTTTAAATTTGATGATTATTTCCATCAATGCTTTTATACCTTTTCTATATAGTATCTAGCCATGGAAAATATACATAACATGGATTTACATGTTTTCAAACTTTATATAAATAAATGGTACTATATCATACAAAATATTCTCTAGTTCAATTTCATTACTACTACTTTAGAGATTTATCTATGTTGGTAGAAGTATCTCTAGTTATTCCTTTTAATTTGCATTCTAGCTTTTATTCAGACTAGTAGTTATTTAGATTGCTTTCAACTTTTTATTCTCACAAACAATGCTACAGTGGACCATAATATACATCTGTCTGAAACATGAATAGAGACTACATAAAGACTTAAGTATGGAATTGCTGGGTCAAAAGATGACACATGCCTGGGAGTGGTGGCTCAAGCCTGTACTCCCAGCACTTTGGAAGGCTGAGGTAGGAGCATTGCTTGAGATCAGGAATTCAAGACCAGCCTGGGCAACACAGCAAAACCCCATCTGTGCCAAATTCGAAAAATTAGCTGGGCATGGTGGTGTATACTTGTAGCATCAGCTACTGGGGATGCTGAGGAAGGAGGATTGTTTAAAGCCCAAAAGTTTGAGGCTGCAGTGAGCTATGAT